AAATTATATAGTAAGAGCTATGCAATTGAAATAGTATCATAATAGTGTATAGCAATCTTATCTGTACCTTATTATACCAGATGAAATCTCTACATAAAATGAGTGTGACCATCTCTCTTTACACGATGATTTCAGTTTGTAATGTGGGATATCGTATTAAATGTGGTATAGGTTTTATATATATTATGTATGTATTTATAAAAATTATGTATTTATATCAGTTATCTAGTAGTATTATAATAATACTATAATAATACTACTACTAGTATAATAGTCTCATAACACAAGCTCTGATTACCTTGGAACTATATAGCGCTGCGTAAGTTGTCCTGAGATATATTATTAGGTATATCTTTATTACTATGTAAATTAATCACAATTTAAAACATCTACTATCCTAGACAACCAAATCATTCTGTTATAACATTAATGCGTAATCTATAGTAATAAAATATATATTATATTTTACTTAATTAATAATAATATAATTATTTATTATGAAAAATAAAATATATATGATAAAGAATTTTAATAGCGCCATTTAGACCCAAACTAATTAGAGGTTATGGGTACTAGATAACTAATATAAATATATACATACATTTTTCTTTAAATTCATAGAAAGCATCCAGATTTGTACAAACTATACTATATTCGTTATTCGTTAATATACTATATTCATGAATACAAATGTTTGTACCGGGCGAGGAATCGAACTCGCAATCATCAGAAGTAAGGCGGTATGCCAAACCATTAGGCCGCCGAGGCCTATTACTTCAACGTAACGAAATTCGTATGAACTTCACGGGAGCAAAGCCTGTAGATAACTGAAATTATGATCCAAGATTTCCATTTGCAGAATTCACAAAGTTATCAATCACCTGGTAGAAGTATAAATTATATGTGAATTAAGAATATGAATTTAAATTTGACGTTCCTAGTATATGAATAAAAAGTACAGTACACAGAAATAAAAGACACAATGAAAGCGTGTGTGTTTAATCTTGTTATTTTTTTATTACCATCATTATAAAACAATACAGATTCTGTGTAAAATATAGTAATAAATATTTATTGGTAACTACATAATTTTACAAATTTATAATTTCCTAATAAATTCATTTTTCACAATAAATTAATAAATAACCTATAATAATTAATTCGCTAAAATATATTTACAATCACACGAGCACTTACAATACTAGAACAAAGCCTCAAGTAAATAATAAAAAAATGAATTATTTGTTTTTATAATCAGAAATAAAAAAAAAGAAACCGTAATGGCTGACGGCCTACCTGATAGATTGTGATAGCCGTGGATCATCGGTATATATGTTGTTTATATACTATGTAGATAAAACAATCATACGATCCGTCTGATGGTAAACGGTTACCATAGCCTATGGACACCTGAACAGCACATCAAATATTTATTCAAGCCACACTTTACCTGCAGCTTTAACAAAACAAATCTTAAAATTGTTGTCAATTTTTTTTTCGAATGATTCTAATACGGTTGGCAGCAGCTGGCCTTTACAGTTTCACCGGACGATAGGTGGCGAGTTCAGATGGCACTCCAATTCAAAGGAAGAACTGAAGGCCAAATGCCTCCTGACGGATACGACTTTAGTCTAAGTGGACCGCTAGAGATTCGAACCTGGGCACAGGCCGTCATATTTTCGACACCCGCTTAAATTGGACGGGGGATCGATCGAGGGTGTTTTGTAAAGCGGTAAAATTAGATGAGACAAAAGCTCGATGAAGGCAAATTATCTAATATATCTGATATATTCTTATTATTCTTAATTTTATACAGGAAAATTATAAACAATTGAATTTAAATGAAAACTTATATATAGTAATAATTATAATTGAGATACATTACTATATGGGAGAGTTTATCTCTAAAAACATATATCTCACAGCAAATCTCTAAGACTTGACCGGATCATTAAAATTTAAATATAATACGACAACTAAATGCATCCTTAGGTGTCTGCTCGGTGGTAGAGTATTACAGTCAGATAAGTAAACATTATAGTTTATAATTTTTTATTATACTATCTTCATACTCGAACTTATATATTCCAAAGAAACAGACAAGCATTGAAGTTCACTACCGATATAAAATTCTGTCGCTTCCGTTTAGTTTGTCTCTCGTATACTTGCCTATTTCTGATACGGCTGACGTCTTTTTTAGATAATAAAAAGTTAAAATATCAAACAAATAATTCAACAAGTACTATAATAATGATACAACTTAGGACAATTTGCACAGCGCCGTCTAGTCCCAAGCTAAGTAGAGCTTGTGTTTTGGTCACTAAACGACTGATATAAATAGATACACTTTTTTGTAAATACCTACATAATATACATAGAAAATACCCAGACAAATACAAACAATTATACTTATGACTACAAATGTTTGTATAGTGCGAGAAATCGAATAAATGGCCATCGGAAGTAAGAAAGCATGGTAAATCGCCGGACTACCGAGGCCGTCTTAAAGGATGGCAACTATAAATACGTCGACTTTATTTAATTAGTTATCTACTTACTTATAAAACCTTTCACAAACCTATTTTAACCATGATATTGCTTTATCACATCCTTTCAAATTAAGAAAACAATTATCAAGACAAGGACAAAAGAGCTCTCTTGCTAAAATAAATAATGAATCCTGGACAATTAACACAGCGGCATCTAGTTCCACGGTATGCAGAGGTTATGTTACGGGTACCAGACAATTGATATAAATACCTAGATATTTTTTTTTGTAAATACATACACAGTATACATAAAAAACACCCAGAACGATACAAACAATCATACTCCTGTTACAAATACAAATAATACAAATGTTAGGACTGCGCGAGGAATCGAACCCGCGACCATCGGAAATAAAGCAGTGTGCTAAACTGCTAGATCACCGTGGCTCCAAAATATAGCTAAAATAGATTTATGAAACGCTTGATTTTATTATGCGTAAGGAAGCTATTATTTAATGATCTGTTTTTTGTAATCCCATAACTGCAGCAAATAGAGCAAAGAAGAAACCAGCCAGCCCAGTGGCTCCTATTAATAAGACTAGACCTCCAATCATAACTGGTACCAGAGCAAAATATTTCAATTTGTAAGCCATAAGCAATGGCAGTACATATTTTTTTAATTTTTTCTTCTTGAATTTATTATGTTTCTTCGTTCCCTTCTGCCGTTCTGCTCCATCTTCTAAGTCGTCGTCCTCTTCTTCTTCTACTTCAGAATCTGCAAGACCCAGTGCATCTGTAAATGTGTAGTTGGGTTATGTATTAAATAGTTACAAACCATTATATATTTAATCTACACTAAGCCTCATGTTCATTATACTTCACGTTAAATAAATTTTCAGCCATAACTGGATAGGAATATAGAAACAACCTTTATTGAAATAATCTTAACATTAGTAATAGTTATTTTTTTATTCTACCACTCATTCGGAAAGTAGACTCATCACAAGAAGAAGGACCAAGAAACTTGCGTGTTGCTGCTATGATATTCAGATGGGGCGTATACGTATAGGGGCCAAATTACATACACTAAGATTATTAAGAACACGGTTCGCAATACATTCAACGGAATATTCACATACCGACAGTACACAAGTGCATTTCAGTAAAGATTTATTTATAATAAACTACTACTACCAATAGTTAAGGTTTATTTGTACATTTGCTGTTACATGTGTTTTCGTCTTCTTTTTATGAGGCAAAAGATAGTGCATCTCCGTTCTCCTGATATAATCCATAGAAAGAGATGAAAATATACCTAATATATTTTTATCTGTTTTACAAGGATAATTTCAGCCGATCAAACAAAGAGATAATATTAGTATAAATAGATTAGTTTAGATTGTTACTACTTAATTATGCAGAATAATTAAATAAAGACAGTATATAAGCAAGTGTATTAAGATTAGTAATTAAAAATTAATATCTTAAAGAAAGATAAAAAGTATTAAAATTTTATTGTAAGTTTGTTATATTAAATCATAAAATTACATAGTGTCTAAATATAATTAGAAAATGTGGGATTTGTTCGGGTTGTTTTTAAATTTCAATAGTGCAGGAAGGTCATTAAAATAGTGTGTAGCATTAAATGAGTATTTTGTTTATTATAAAATATTTTTTAACTATAGTCGAATTATAAACTTGCAGTTTATTATATAACTCTATGTAAAGAAAAACCTAATGAATCACGGCTTAGGAAAATATTACTACTGACGTAGCGTGGAGAGTACAAAGCCCCTAGCATCATAAAAGGAGAGTAATGCGGAAAGATTATGATTTTTTTAAAGTCAAAATTACAACTTCATTAGAATAACACGAAAATAATATTTTTCAATAAAAAAATATATAAAACTATGCTATGCCACTAAACATTATTACTAATTATTACTAGGCCGCAATAAGTGTACTAAAAATTTTACTATTACTTCAAGTCAAAAATCTCATCAATCAAATCAGCCCATTAATTAAATAATTAGCTACAAAATTTAGCAATTCTTAGCGACATACTTTTTTTCAAGTAATCGGTAATAACGTCACTAATTGTTGGTTAGCTAAGTAATTAATTTGAAATACTAATAGTAATCAACAGGTGTCAAGAGAAAGTAATCAATCAAATCTGTTATCAAGTCTGTCAAATCTGTCATATCTTTTATTGTCTGTCAAATGAATAATTCATGAGAAATGTAAAGGTTCGCAAATAAAAGTCATAATGCAAGCGTGTGTGTTTAATCGTGTATCTTTTATATCAGCAGTATTATCTTATAATATAATACATGTTCAGTGTACATTATAATATTCATTGGTAACTATATTATTTTGCTAATTTATATATTCATCTCGACTAACAATAAATTAGTTAATAAATAACTTACGCTAATTTATTTGCTATAAATATATTTACAATGCGCGAGCACTTAAAAATAGAAACATACGGACTGTAATAGGAACGAAAAATAATCACAAAACAAATTGGAAATAAAAAAATCTTAGCAATTATAGAAACGAAAACTAGATTATTAAGTTTCGGTGGTAATCTGGAATCATTTCAGAACACTAGTATATGATATAGATTTTAGATAATTTAGCAATTAACACAATATGAATGGCAACAATTAGTACGTCGACTTTATTTAATTTGTTAATGTTTAAATTGTTAGTAGCCTCCTTTCTGCAGTCCCATAACGGCTGCAAACAGAGCAAAGAAGAAGCCAGCCAACCCAGTAGCTCCTACCAACAAAATTAAACCACCAATCATAACTGGTATCAAAGCAAAAAACTTCAATTTGTAAGCCAAAAGCAATGGGAGAACGTATTTCTTCAATTTTTTCTTTTTATATTTTGGTTTCTTAATTCCCTTCTTGCGCTCCACTTCGTCTTCTAAGATGTCGTCTTCATCTTCATCTTCTTCCAATTCGGCTGAATCTTCGAGACCCAGCGCATCTGTAAATTAATTAGTTAATTTATATATTAAAAGATTACAAATAAAATGCAATATATTTGGGTGCTAGAATGCGTGCTTTATTAAAAAATTATTTGAAAATTAATTAATTTATATCTATTCCGTACAAATACTTTAAGATAAGCGTGTGTTTATATTAAAGGCAATATAGATCTACACAAATTGATTACTTTGCACTCACAATAGATTGTATTTTTTTATATATTAAAATAAAATTTTTATTTTTTTTCTATGTTTCTGTAATAACAAGCAATATAATGCCTCATTTGATGGTAAGTGGTATTATTTATTACAGATAATATAATGCTAGCATACCCAATAATTTCTGTTACTTGTGGAGATGTGTGAATATATATTTTATTTGGATATCTATATGCTACTCATTCAAGTGTTGCTGAATGATACTCAACCTTATAAAAGAGGGACTCAATTTATATATACAAATGATTGAATAAATTATTATAGAAATAAAATAAACATAATTCCAATGAATAAATACAATTTAATTTTGTTCTTAACTAATATTTCTTATATCGTATTATTATTCCTAGAATACAAGTAAGTAAAAGAAATTGAAATGTAATCACGAATAGTTATGTTCATAAATACATTTAATCAGTTTATCTTAATTAGGAGAAAATCTATCACAGAACAATCCTACGCACAGTTAGAACACGAAGAATTTTACGCGTTTGAAGTGTGTTTAATTAGTGTATAATCATATATCTTGATAAATGTGAATGTGTTGTATGTACACGTTATCATACAATACACAATCACGCAATGTTACTGATTGCTAATTTCAAAGACACGTAATGTCAGCGTCAATGTTCTAAGTAATGTGCTTTAGACGTTTTTTTATGTAATTCGAAAAATACATTATCACCTGATCTGGTGATAATGTATTTAGCTGATAGGCGATGCCTCTCATTCAGCCATTCAAATGCGTTGGTACTTTAAAATACGTAATATATTCTACATGAAAAATACCGAGCTTCTAATTTAATTTTTTTACATATATATTTTTAATTTCGTATATACAAGTATTGTTTGATATATATATGATTACTTTTTATCGTTGATATTGTATTCAAGTCAGTGGTTGAAAATGCGGCTAATAAATTTTTCTACCAAAAATTCACATATTAAAATAATGATATAGAAGTACGGCAGAAATAGTTAACAGAAGAAGGCGTCATTTTATATTATAGGAAGCTCAAATTAGAACTAAAAATACAGGTAATGTTGAAAACTCTTATACACTTTTTACTATATTATTACATGACTAATACAGTAACATTAATACAGTAACAGTAAAATTAGATTGTTTTTTTTTTGCAAATCTGTACCTACATAGATTGTTAACAAAGTTCAATTAAGATCAAATGGAATTTTATTACACCATTATCAAATACACCTGATAACAAATACGGCAGATGCAAAGAAGTCCGCGATAATATTTGATAAAGATCTACCAAAGTTTGATGATTATGTAATTATAATATATATTATATGATTTACATGTTATCTATAATTTGATTAGATAAAACTTTAACCAGACTAGAAAAAGATAATAAATACTCTTTTCAATTTTCTGTAGCATTTTAGCAACATTGAAGATATACAATATATAGTGGTGTACTTACTATATATTGTATTTCATCACGAAAACTATCGGATATATATAATTAATAGTGAGTCTTGTATTATTATAATACAATTCAAACTTTAATCATAATTAGCAGTAAATTTAAATTTCGTCTGACAAAATATACTTGTTGGTATCGGTAAGTAATTTAAAATGATTTTTGAAAAATATTTCGTGTTAGTGATAGTGTACCGTACCAAATGGCCAGTCAAGCAGACGATACTGTTTCCGAAGTTACAGTTGACAGATGCAAATGATTGCAGTCCACTGTCAACATTCAGGGGTACGGTGAGAGTGCTTTTAAGGCGGGTTAGTGAAACAACGGAGAATAATAATACGTTACTGATATTAGTATATTGTTTGCAACTACTTTGTTATTTTCTACAATGTATATAGAATTTTATGAAACAATAGTAATTTACCTGTTGAAACTGTTATAGTTGATATAATCCATTCTCCAGTATAATTATCGACGGTCGAACGACATCCGCGAAAAACCGGTATGATATGATCATAGATAAGCTATAGATACACAGAGATAATAGAAGGAAGTCTGTTTCCAAAGATGTATACAAAAAAGGTTGACAGACACATAAACAATCATTCATAGAGAACCAACGCATGCATGAGATGAGGTAAAAAATGAATGAAGGAAGAGTCGTGGATGAAGTAAGGATCTCTTATCTTTTCACATATCTCTTTATTTATCCACTTATTACATGCATTATTTTACACTTGCAGTAAATACAATGATAAACAGTACAGTAAAAATATGCAGTCTATTTTTATTTAAAACCGTAACAATCAAGCGTAAGTTCCAGTTGGTGGTGAGCAGCTTATAGCCTAAAAACGTAAGATCAGGACTATCACATGCATATTGAGGATCTTGAGAAAACTTGGTGCTTGGTTCCAGCATGCTCATAAAGTAACTGGTCGTCTCCAGTGAGTATTTACTATTCCCGAGCGCAGAAAGTGCAACAAGATTTTTAATAGTTTTTATACCATTACCAAAGACTAAGTGGGAAAATTTAATTGATAGTATTTTGGTATCGTATAGACTCAGAGTTTCAATTATTGGAGTCTTATAATTCTATATATAAAACATTATATATGATAATTGCTGATATTAATATTGCTCTATTGCTCTTATAACTAGTTATTGCATATTGTAAATATTGCTGCTTGGTTTATGTACTGAATAATACTATTTTAGCTATTGCCATTCATATATTACCCTGATAACTCGAATTCATTATCCAGTTTCCATAGAAATTTCGAGAAATCAATTATTATTGAAGATGTAATAGGAACATTTATTCAAGTCCTTAACCAATAGTTAACAAGTTTACAGACTAATCAATTAAATCAAGTATATTATGTAATAGACATGAGCGACAGATATGCTTATAACATAAATGTTTGAAAATTAATATATAATAACATCTACACTTACATGATATAGATCTTCTGGAGGCAGTTGCTTCTGAAAATCCTTCGGGCTTTTCTATAATTGGCTCTTCATCAATGTCCAATGATCTCCTTTGGAACTCCTGACTCCTGATCAAGGGTATCACCTTTGGATGGAATGGTTCACTGTCAATTGGTTTATATGGGAGGTCTTGTGATAAATTCTTATCGCTTTTCTCTTTGGCAATTGGGAAATAATTACCGGGGAAAAGCGTTTCTGTTTTATATTTATTCACATTATTATGTGAATAGTAAACGCTTCTTTCAACTTGGGAAGGTTGCTCGCTTCTCTGTAGAGGTATAGCGCGAGGCTTGAAAGCGTATTTGGATATCCTAGATTGCCGCTGTGGGACTTGGTTGCTGCTATAAACAGTCGGCTGGATTACAATAGATGCGCTCGTTACATTGACTACAGCCGATCCATCTCCGCTGGAAGCACTTGACAAAGACCAAAGTTTGGTCAATTTATTCTCATAATTTTCATTAGCTGTCGACAAAACAACAAAACATAACACTACTATAGTCTGAAAACGCAACTTCATGTGTAACTCCATTTTCATCGATTAATTATCGACCAATTATAGATCGATGCGTCACTGATTACACAATTGTCCACACTTCACTTTCTTTTGTATTCCTTAGAGTCTAACCCCGCCCGTTCGATCCACCATTTTGATGCAAGCGATCGCGCAAAACTGAATCACTATCGTTGTTAGACGTTATATTTATACATGTGTAAGTATAAACTTGCGTTTTTCCCGACGATTCACGGTCGGACGGGTCCGTGGGCTTCCTCGCCGAGGTTGCAATTCCGATATAAGGGAAAAATATGAGACACCGAAATAAAAAGTCGTTTGTTGCGTGACATTACCGCACTACGCGTGGCTTCTTCCGTTAATGATTCCTGTTCAGTTCAATACGACCAATTTTCTACGATATGGGGGTAATTTGTGATGTCGTTATCGTGTCGTCTTTGGATGCAATTTTCATGTCAAAAACTCGTTTCTAGAATGGTTTTTGGATCACTTAATTTGTTCTTGAGATGTCATGAAATTGACGATAAAAATGAGAGCGTGGAGATGGTTTCGATTTCGCGTATGTACATACATATGTAGATATTATAATGATTAGGGTATAAATTACAATAATCAGTACATAAGTAACGGTATTGCAATGAAGTTTTCAGTTCGCTTTCTTGCGTTATACCTATTGTTTCTTTGTACATTTATGTCTGCAAAATACTATTATTATTTTGGTCGTAATAATAATTTAGATATTTATTCTAATTTTTATATCATTAATATTTGCATAAACGTTTTGGAGGACAGATATAATTCATGATACTTTAGCAATATTACGTGTACTTTGAAGTTTTCATAAATTAAAATATTATAAAGTCAAATCTCCACATTCTATGAGGCTTGGGCCATGTAAGAGATGCGAGTAGAGGTTATTAGTGTTTGAACCGTACACTCTACGATGTATTAGCTGACAGTAACAAACGTATTACGGTGATTTTTTTATGTAATTTTAATAGAAAACAAAATTACAGCCCACATGATATTAAGTGGTACTAATCGTCGGTTAGTAAATGTGAGTAGATTGCAGAAGGTGACGCATGCTGTGGCTACTTGTAAGTTGCCATTCCTGAGGTCCAAGATGATATCTTCTAGTCTATCTGCTTTGTCTCATCCTTCAAATAAAGCAAGTTGCTAGTTGGTTGAAATAAGTGACAACGAGATACCCTCGCAGAAGTTTTTTTACAGTTATAACCACATTGTGGAATCATCTTCCAGCAGTGGTATTTCCGAACCGATACGATATTTAAACCTTCAAGAAATGAGCTTATTCCTTTTTAAAAGGCAGACATCGTACTTGCAAATCTACTGGTGTTGCGGGTGCTCATGGGCAGCGGTAATCACTTACCATCAGGTGAGCCGTATGCACGTTTGTCCCCCGTATTATAAAAAAAAACAAAAAGTCGTTGTCGTAGACCGAATTAATAATATTATTTGATAATTCACACAAAGTCACCTAGTAACAAGGTACGCAGAGCTTGTGTTATGTTTATAACGTGTGAGGAATCGAACCCACGACCATCTGAAGTGGAAGGAAGTAAAGCGGTGTGCTAAAGTGCTAAATCAACGAGGCCGTCTAATAATATTAATCCATAAACAAATTATTTATATATCTCATATCTCTATTCTATACTATGTCTATTCTCTGACTTACGTACTTATGATATAGATATTATTTCTGATTTATAATATTATATTATGGCTAGACTTTTCCCCTGATATTAAATAATTAAAAATAGTGAAGTTATATATGAATATTTAGACTGTAAGAGTAGTAAGAATAAGAATAAAATGGTTGATATCCTTGAAGGATGAAAAATTCACAGCAAATTCACTATGAATTACCCACTATCTTTTTTAAGCGAGCGTGTGAAGGTTGTTCTATAGAGAGGTACATTTCTAGCAATACAGACAATAGTCATGACTCAATCTATGTAAACCTTACTTAATAGATTTGTATTATTTTGTTTGCTTTTGCTACTATTGGAATGTGATCAGGTTGTTAGGTTTAGCCAGTGAATGTTTGTGGTCTCACACAAACATTCAGCGCGGAAACCTGACCACAGCGTTTCGACCTTTCCCACTAATGATCAACACCGACCGTTATCGGATCTACACCTATATTATGACACATGTATTGCCTCTAAACGATGCAACAAAAGGCAATGAATATATTCTTGACTAGCTGGCCCGCGCAACTTCGTCTGCATAACACTTACTTGACATTTATCATTATATTACATCCAATTTACATAATATATTTTTAAATTATAGCCTATATGTTATTCTGATATGTGAGCTATATTGCTGTAAAGTTTCATCAAAATCCGTTCAGTAGTTTTTCGTGAAAGAGTAATTATCATCCATCCATACTCATAAACATTCGCGTTTAGTAAGAAGTAGAATAATATTGAAGCCATGGAGCATATGTTGACTGTTCGACGGCGAGAATAAGACACATCGATTAAATAATGAAATGAATTTGCGCAAAATAACATCTAATTCGATAAAACTACGTAAATTTTCCCATAAAAATATTTTTATTTCACATAATAATGTCCGAACTTATCATCAATATTTGAGAGTAGTATAGATCCTTATATATAAATATAGGGACCAATAGTTAGCCTATGAATATTGTGTATAATATCTAAATAGCTATTAAAATTTAATTATACTAGCAGACACGGCAGTCGACATCCTCCCCGGAAAAGCGCTACCTACCCGGTGTAATACCAAATACCAGTAGTGATTACAAATAATCAAGGAACTTGAAATATACACTCAAAATTTAATCTAAATCGATCTAGCTAGGAGCAGTTAGGTGACAAATACACGTTACAATGTAACTTTAAATTATGACACTATTTAATATGGATGGTCAAGTAGAGTTAAAGAAAATAGCATTTAAAAATCTTTGGAGTGTATTTTTTTAACTGTACACGCGATTGAGGGATATACGTTGTTAGTTTTACATCATCTCATGCAAGTAAATTATCGCGACAAGAATTGTGTTTTCTAAAAGAAATTGAAATCTACAGTGAAGATTATCGTTACCATGCAGGTGTAACAAAGCGTCCTACGATTGTAATCACTCATAATTAATATTGTAATATACAGATGATATGAAATAATAATAATATGTATAATTGATCGCTGTGTCTACGTGAAAGATATATGAGAAAAACTATTATTGGAGGACTTTATCAACGTAATGGAATTTATTTCCAATTTCAAAAACGCCTTCAGCAATTTGGGTGCGGTGTTCAATATTGTATTAAAATTTGTTCTATTTCAATAAAATATATATACAGTGCAAAATATATATATATAGATTAAGACTAACTACTATGTTTAAACTAAGTTACTTTCAAGTTTTTAATCAAATTGGAGTTGTACTATTCATATCTAATTATTTCATCATATGATAATATATGAAAAATATGATAATAATAATAAACTTCTCTGTTCTCTGTTTTTAAATAATCATTGAGATGATAGTACTACTTCAGTTTCTTATCCTGTAATTACTCCGTTTTATCTTAACTTCTACTGAATCACAGACTACAATGTAGGCTGCGTCACGCCAGAAATAGGTAAGGATGAGTTGCATACCCAGATGACTTTTTATCTACTCGTATTAACTATACCTACCTATATCCTACTTCGGTGAATATAATTTAAGTACGTGACCCTAAGTCCTATTAAAATGAATTACTTATAAAGTAACTTGAAAATTAATATGTTTGTTGTATCTATGGAACAGATTATGCGAATACTAAATACTTTTAATATTAAACAACGGATAGGAACACTTTTTTGTATATACATACGTAAAATTCAATCACTCATGAACACAAATAATTTTGCTATGTGAGGACTGAACTCGCGATTATCAGAATATGAGGCAATGTGTTCAACAACTATACCACCGATGTCATCACTAGATTCATGTCTTATGATGATAGAGTTAGATGTTCTGTAGACTACAATTTACATAGAGAATCTAACACAGTTAAGTTATATACGATATTGCGTGATAATACCTTTTTAGTCATTGTGAAAACCGAATGTTTATTAGGCAATAAACATCTATACATTGTTAATCTTTCGTTATATATATTTTTTATTTTACTACTTATATTTCGCGGTACTGTCTGCATAAATTTAAATATAAAATCATCTTGTAGGATTTGATCTCTCAGTATATTTCATACTAATTTATCCAGTACTTTTCTTTATGGCAGTGGTATGGTAAGTAACACTCAATCACGCTTAAACATTTTCATTAATGTTTAAGAATTATTGAAAAGCATATTCGCGCGGATATATTATATATATAGAAGTATTCGCGCGGATGCATATATGCTATAACACGTATGTTTTATACACATAAACCTTCCCTTTAAAATACTCTATCTATTGCTGAAAACCGCATTAAAATCCGTTGCGTTTTTTAAAACATATAAGCGAACAGACACCGGCGGTGAATTTGTTTTATTCTAATACGTAAATATTACGTTATAAGGTCAATCATAATGTTGTTAAGGTGTCAAGTATTTTGTTCAAAAATATTGGTAATAAATTTCTTTAACAAATTCTCATATCAATTAATTAAAGTCTTGCATATGTAACTTCTACATACATAGTATGATTGCGTGAAGGCAATCTTCCTGCTTAATATAATTGCATTCCACGTACTCAAGCTAGCTCTGATGAAGTTGGAAGTAATGTTTCCGATCACGCAGCCATAACAGAAATGCTTAATATGCAGCAGCTCTATAAACTATTTTTTATAACTGAAATGGTTATATTTTTTATCATCAAACTACACACTAGGACTTTATACGTACTTCCTGGATATGCCATATATTCGCACTGAGCGGTTCGCGTCGATTTTCCTAATACACACTACCAAAGTGTGTACACTTCCAGCTTTCTTGTTCCCAGAGAAAGACAACCCCAGAATCTTCAAGTCTATGGTGAATAGATTTCTTGTTGGCTAGTGCGTTACGTCCTAGGCATCATTTTCCATCAGATGAGGTAAAACATACAACAATAAATACAACATCTAACTAAAAAAATGGTACACAAACAGATGACACACTTGATAAATAATGACATCCGTAACCTTATATATCTAATTCAATATAGTTTGTTATTATGCATGTGGAAATTATCTCTTATATTTATAAATTTATACAATAATATCCAGACAATAAATATATCATATTAATTTTTTCTGGTAATTTACTTTTATATTTATTATTGTGACTAAGGATTTTAGACCTTTTAATGGCTGCAACAACTTAGGTATCTCATAATATAATTTTCGAATAGTATTATGAAAATTCAATACGTTTTAATTTTTTTGCAATCATTCTCTTATTGTAATTTGTCATCATTAATTTAAAAAATCTAGCATACGACGGGCCATATATTTGCATTTTTACTAGATTCTACAGCTTTATTAATAGACAATAATGTCTAATACATTATACTACACACAATGAAAAATAAAACAAATATGAAGAATATTTGCATTATGCAAATTATTATTAGAAGCTCATTATGCTAGTAAAATGTGGAAGTAAGTCTAATCACGCGTAATATTTAAATTTTTCTATTCAACACGTTATTTTATTACATTAAGAGCTAAATAAATATTCATATATTTATAACATAAATTATCCATACTTTCATAATAATGCATATTTGTAGTATGGCAGTAAATTATTTAGTACATGAACTTATAATTGTATTCTGTTTAATTGGTATACAGAACATACATATATATACCATGAATCTTCCTATGTACCAATATATTGCAGAACATAACATTCCCTACAACATTGACAGGTCTCAATGTCTCTAACTCTCAAATCTGATAAAGAAGAGTCATGATAGTATGCTTGTAACATTCAATTATTGACGATTACGAGTTACTTAAGATTATAAAAACTAATTACTAATTATAACCATTATAAAAATACTGGTTGATTTAAACAAAATAATGTAACGATCAATTAAAACAATATTATAATAGAATTCTGAAAATTTTAAATCGCACCGTTGCTAACTACAGCTCTAGTGTAAGTTTATGCTTAGACATGGAGTGTTTGAAGTACTTCGTTTTTTACACAGATGGAGTTCTATATATTTTTTATTTTTATATTTGAATGTTTTTCCAAAATAATGTAGTAATAAAAGTAATATTAGCATAAATAACCTTGTACTGAACAATCAATAATTATCTAGATAGATTTTATAAAACGATAACTTTAAGCTATCACCTCAGTCTCATTTATTCTGCTACTTCCGCCAAGCAGCTTGCTTTATAAGATGTATTTTTGATACAATAACATTACAGGATTTGGAAGCATAACATCTTAGTCAGAAATGGTCAATATATATGTCTTAACTGGTAATGTATATGTCAATCAGTTGATGACTTTATGTTCAGTTATGTATGTACACGACGGTTACTGCTACCGTCAGGTCGGAAACTAACTTCTTTGTCATTACTATTACAAAATAAGAATAAATACGTGAAAAAGTTATTTTAAAACTATGTTCTTCGCTTCCAATATTCAGATGAAAACGACTTTCTAACTAAAACAAGTACCTAAAAAATAACTATTTTCATCTATGTAATTAAAAATTATAATTTATTCAATGGGTTTGCTTTAATGTCATCGTTAATTATGACACTCTCCTCGAGAAAACGATTTACAATTTTAAGAAAAGATTTCAAGAGATCTGGTTCACTCAAATGTAACCTATTTGAACTAACTCCTAATTTGGCTACCACATCATTGACAACTCGTAACTTATCACTACATAAATCGTAATCACATACATTATTTACAAAATGAACAGTACTTGTTCTATTCGGTACAAACCCGAATAGAACCCATCCTGGTACCGTAAGAATGGCAACAGGTTGAGAACTAGTTCCCTGTCTTACTGCCATGAGAACAGACAAATTCCAATTATCTATACCGATTATAATATGGAAATGCCAGAACATCACTCTTATTGACATTTGGATTCGCCTGTCCGAGGTTACTAATAGATCTAACTTGTTTGATAACAAAGGAATTAGTAGATCTCTTTCCTTTTATTTGAAAGTCAACATACTCGACTTGCGACTGTTTTGATAAGCCACCAACACACTGCAGTTCAATTTGTTCTACTGCACCCGTTACTCCAATCTGAGAGGTAATTTCCGAGTCAATAAAGGTAGCCATGGACCCGTCATCCAGTAACGCGAATGTGTCAACAGAACCCGCAGGACCAGACACTGTAACAGCGACAACTTTTAGTAATGGCTTACAAAAACTGGTGGTACTAACAGAAGACGTCTGTGTCACCAATTCCGATGGAGACTGCTCTGCATTACCATTACCTGCATGTGACATTGGCCGACTTGACTCTTCAGATACCTGCATATTAGCTACTGAATTAATAAAATTTGGATTATGAAGTAACTTGTGATGTTTATGTGTGCAACCGGCTTTATTGCAAAGTCCTTTAGTACGACAAGTATTATAATTATGTGAACCTCTTTTTAAACATTTCTGGCATAATTTATTTTCTTTAACGAAATGCCATTTATTATGAACTGTCAATGCCAAAAACTTATTACAATTGACTAATGCGTGAAATCTTTTACAATATGTACAAATTTGTTTTGATGAATTTTTTAATGAATTTTCAGCCGTTGTAAGAGATGTTTCAATACAGGAACCCCTCTCGGATGTTTGTGACGACTGCTCCAGCAAATCATATACTTCCGCGGCATTCACACGTTCTGGTTTTTTATGCCTGTCAATATTATAATTTGTATTAAAACTGAAGTAATCCGTGACACCAAATTTAGCCTGAATCTTTATCGAAGAGATATATTTACCGAGACCCAGAGATCTATCAACATTATATATAAATAAATATATAATGTTGATAGATCTTTATCGTTACCTAACCTCGGCAACGATCTCACTGAATAAAGTTCTTGTAATATAATTAAATCTGGTCGTCCAAATCGAACCTCGAGCGCACGCATAACAATATCTGGGTCTCGGGCAGTCACTAAGAGCTTGTCAACAGTCTCTCGCGCGATACCTCGTAATGCGTAGCTCAGACGAGCTAAGTTCTCTATTGCTGAATAACCAGACTGTGTGTCCTGAAACACACGTTTAAAAGAAAGCCATTCCGTAGGGGACTTTCCATCATAATGAGGAAGTTTTATATTAATCCCTTTCGGAGCGGTAATTTTATCTGTCAACTTATCTACTGCCGATACTAAGGCAGTGATCGGTTCAACTAAGGTGACAGTAGGGGGATGTGTGTTTACCGTAGGAATCTGGGGATTACTAAGAAATTGAGACGAAATAGGATAATTATTGTTATCTAACCATTTGTCCACAACTTCCGAGCAGCTACGATGAACACTAGCACGACTACCAGATCGGCTGCCCCGGGAATTGATTGCTTCAATTTCTGCTTCGTATTCCTTCCTCGCCGCCTCCAACTTAGCACGACGAGCTTCTGCCGCCTCCATCTCAATTTGTTCAAGGCGGTGTGCATGCTATGTTTGAGCTGCAAGTTTTTTAGCACGTACCGTGGTAGATGAGCGGCTGCAGGCCGATGTACTGTGAGTACTAACCGCGATCGGTGGTACGGTAGACACCAGCGCCGTGGCGCGGGCATCAGATTGCGTTTCCTCTGCCGGTAATGACAATGGCAACGCTTTTGCCGTACGAGGGTTTGCCGATCCTAGTTTACGACCCGACCGTGTTTCCATATTTATAAAATTGCGAATTTAAAATTTAGAAATTCGTTAATTAATTATGGGAGAAGGACCAAAAATGTGAACGAAGGACTGTAAAAGGCTGGTAGATATAATTATGCAAACACGGGTTTTAGGAAGCAATAATATAATATTATGTACAAAAGTATAATAATTAACAGAACAAGAATGTCATATATATTTTTCTATATAAAATAATAGACAAAATACATAAATAATATACAAAGAGGTGCGTCGTGCACAATATATTATTAATCCGTATTTTGGTTGAGACGTAAGATAAGGTAGCAAAAATTATAGGGTATGAAATGGAGCAGGTATTATAAGTAACTTGTTTGGAATGACAATGTATGAGGGGTATGTCGATCGTCGCTTGATGCCGTGTATTCCTTGATGTGTGATCCTTACTTTCCATCAAGTTTCATCAAATACCAGTTATATAAAATACTATCTGTAACCCGCGACTTCGACCAAGTGTTATCCAACTTTTTTTAAATTAAAATTTATACAATTTCTATAAAACTAGTAGGCTAGATTACTCCTTAAAATATTAACTATTTACGAGTGACAGTCCCGTCGTTCAGTTTAGCCGTTTCAGAGACTTGCAAAAACAATCAGAGAGACAAAGATTTTTAAAATTGGTTTCATATGCATTTAGTGACTAGCTGTTAATTTGAAATTACAAACGGATATTTTATTTATTTGTAGTCTTATACTTGTTCGCTAACAATGCGGCATAAATACATACATTACATAATACATATAATTAAATAGGTAGGTAGGAATATAACATAATAATAAGTATTATTTAATTGAATTTATATTAATATCCATTATATGGGTGGGATTGTGGGTATTGGGTGTGTAATCATTAAAAGTAAAAAAAAAAACAAAATTTATAGTTCACAATTTTATTTCCAATTATCTTAATAAAAAACCAAAAATCAATTTTTTGTCATAATTATTGTACAGAAAAAATGGCTTGTCGTAAATAATGTGAAAACAAAAGAAGAAACAGAAAAAAGAATATCATATTAGAAATAACATAAAATGAGTATTCACTTAGGCACAATTTCTCAATAAATTATAATAAATAAATTACTCTATAATACAGTCATCGCTTAAAACTAGAATAAATAATTCCTTTTAATAAAAAGTACCAAGAATCGACCCCATTTTTGGGTCAATTATACACACATTTACTATTAATTAGTATTTCCTCTAAACATCAATACACATAGAAAAAAAACTGCTAGTCGTCATAACTGAAAGGTGGGTAAAATCACAAAAAAAAAAGAAAATATAAAAATGAGGACTCCATATAAATTTTTCTACTTAAGTCTGGCTTACGTAAGTTTACTCTTGTTTGTAAGCGGAATAAGCTAGGTTTGAGCCGTCTTTGTAGGCTCTACGGTCCCATCCACCACCACCACCACCACCTGATGACCATCCGTGGCTCTCATGACCTCCACCACTCTTCTGTGCCATAAGCTTCTTCAAAGCGATGATGCCTGACAGAAGTAGTGCGATCTGACAAAGAAAAGAAAATATATATCAAATTTCTATAACTCCAAGACTGCTATTGAAGAGTTATTGTCAAATGTGGATGTGAAAGAACGAAGAAAACAATAACATAATTAGTAACCGTAATAATTAGTAATAAAGTTAAACATCGAAATCCTAATTTAGTAACAAATTTTGTAATCTACATATACTACTGTAAAAAGTTACTAAATTGGAATATTTTATAGTATACCTAAGGAATACATTTATTTCTTATTTAAAAAAAAATATTCTTACTAGTAGTAGTAGTAATATTTTAATCAAATTAAATGAAATACTAAATATTTCATTTAATTTGGTTAAAACATTTTTAATAAATTATACAGCTTATATTTGTCAGCACAGTATTATTATACTGTGCTGATGGTGTTAAGAACTTTTGAATAGAAAAATCTTCTTAAATAATCATTTATTTAAGAAGATTTTTAAGATGAATGAATGATTTTTATTAAATTTTAATTTACAATTTGTAGGTTTATGAGATATAAAATTCTAGTGAGTATTATACGTGCTATTTCGAGGGCAATACCATAAACTCAACTATAACCATTTTATGTTGCCACGGCCCACATAACTTTAATTTTATTGATTACTATGATTATTTAATATTTATTTTTATTGTTATGAGTGTGCTGTGTTCTGATTTTATAAATTTTTGATGGTTTCAGTAGTCCAGCGGTTAGCTCATCGTAAACTTTTCTATTCAAAAGTATGTTTTATATTGGGCTGGGTTTTTTTTATATATACAGCATTTTATTTTATTAAATAAAATATATTGTGAGGTAATAGATTTATTGATTTAAAAATATATCTATTTAGATATATAAATTAGATAGATCTATTTAAATTAGATAGCGCTGTGTAAAAAGCACTGATTTATTATTATTTTTACGTTGCCGGAATTGAATGCGAAAGCGAAGCTATGTTCAGACACATAATAGATCTTTTTTTGTCATAATACTAAGTTACGGTAAGCACCGATACCAATACGCAACGGGACAACAATACGGCAATACATATTCATTTGATATGTGACTGACCATACATATGTAACAGATTGAACCAATACTACTTGTTTTACAATAAACTATTCTACGTCATAGTGAATAAAGTTGTTTTTCTAGATAGTTGTCATTGCTTATTTATTGAAAAGAACTTGGGAGTAGCAAACAGGCTGGTCGCCTATCTGATGGTAAGACAACCATTGCCTATATACATCACAATAAGATCACATACATTATGTTTTCTTGTTGTATCCATGGTACCCCTTATGCGTTGCCTAAGACCAAGGTGCATCATACCTCACTAATTTCACTATCAAGACACATCAAATCAAGTCAAATTTAAATAAATTTGACTTTAAAAAAGCGATTAACCTGGATATGCCTTGGTTGTAATCGTTACATAGTATAATACGAAGTCGCTGTCGCTGTCCGTCCGTCCCTATGTATATAGGGACGGACGGACAGCGAATTAATTGAAATAATTCTTTAAAACTACCCAACGGATTTTGAAGCGGTTTTTTTAAATAGATAGAGTGATTCAAGAGGAGGGCGTAACCGGGGCGAGTAGTTAGTTGTAGAACATAATGTCCCATTATGTTTTACCTCAATAGGCATGCAAAATTTTAAACTTAAAACATCTTACAAAGCCAGCTGCTTGGTGGCCGAAAAAATGAGACTAATGTGGGTACATTTGTGTACGACTTTGTATAAGGTTTACCTTGGTAGTAAATTACCTTCATTAATAAACGGTAACCGAGCTATTACCATCTCATTTATATATCTGTAGATGTGTTGTATACATGAAACAACATGCTTTAAACAATGCCGATTAGTCTCCAATATAATCTAGTAATTAAGAACGAGTAGTATTGAAATTATAATAAATAAATAATAATTTTCTAATTGAGACTTTGAATTTGTGTTATCTATATTGTATTGATAATATAAAAATCAACAAATGTTTAACTTTGTGATTAGTAGTGTTAGGACTATACAAAAATGAAACTATTGAACCGACGAATTCATGGTACATCCAACAATTGTATGATTTTGTCATCAATTGATCACGTATTGGGAAGAACTTCTTATATAATAATCGATTAGTACAAAATACAATTTAAATAATTGATTGGAGAACATCTTGGGAAGTGGGAAGAACCGCTTGTGAAAATAAGCTGTTTCTAGAACAAAATGCAATAAACATTGTTTATAGAAAATGTGACGTTAAACATCAACATTGTTTGTTTAACGTAAGATATCAAGTGTAATTTTAATTAAATTACACAAGAAAATAACACATGAAGTGAATAAAAATTTTAAACATATTATATATATTAAAAATATATTGAACTATACTTGTTACAACACGTATAATAATTTGTAAATTATTATAATTAACAACATACCTATTACCACAGATAATTTATTATTCAAATATCTCCATTAAGGGTGATTATTTTACTATCATTCGAAATAAATCTCGAACGGCTTAGTATTGTAAAACAAGCCGCACGAGATTTACTTGGAGTGACAATAAATTAGGAGCCTACAACACTTCAGTCTTAATCACGACTTGCATTACTGATTTGAAATTAAATATCTAAACGGCCGTAGGCGAGCACTCTTTCAATACGACTGCCAGTCTTTGCATTGGTGTTGCCAGACATAATTAGAATAATCCCTGCTATTATTAAAATAATGTGCACTAAAGTAATAAATAAGTTTTAATAAAGATTTAACTAAATAACATTGTTTGAGAGCTCTGTGTGCGTATAAAAAGAGAATAATTTTGATGTGACGCAGCATAATAAAATGGCAATTCACGAATAAAGCAATGTACTGTATAATATATTTTACCTAAGATTTTAATAAAAATATATTTAAATGATATCATTTACAATTCAACTGATATGCAGACAAATTAAGATCAATCAATAGAATGACTATGAATGACATTAAAAAAGTCCTTTACTAGATACCAGAAAGGTGCATGAAATAGAAATCAACAGGAGCGACAGGGGTTTCGGGTAATACCTCCACTTCCCAACAAAAAAGAAAAAAATATAACCTGGCAACATTTTATTACACAATATGTGGAGCGAAAGGAATGAAGCCATCCATTGAAGGCCGACAAGTGTGTAGTTTTACGTTGAATATTAAATAATTATAATGGGAGCAAAATACAATATATTATCTTATCACAGTTGTTTCCATTTGACTACTTAAACTGGATTAGTAGATAATAATGATTTATAAACGTAATAAAATAGTAGAACTGTTGAGATTTAGTATCTACTGCCAAAACATAACTCAAAATAACTACAATATATTATAATCAAACTAGCTAACCCCGCAAATGTTTTTATGTCATATACATATGTATGTTAAAATCGCTATTAAAAATAAGGGTTTATGATAGAAGGGTGACAATTTAGAGTTGTACGTATTTTTATGTCACATTACAAAAAATATAATTTATTTAATATATATACATATATATATTACTACATGTGTTAAAATTATATTAAAAAAGACAAACATGTAACAGGTTTAACACGTGTAGTTTTGACTGTACAGATGATATGACCGTAATACTGTTGTTTAAACAAGTGTTAATGTCATTGTATTGGGAAGTGTGAAGTAATTCGTTAGCATTCTTAGCGAGATGACTCAATATTCATTGTAAATATTAAGTATATTATGTTATTTATCTCAAATATTATTTATATTAATACGTTGTTTAAATTCAATAAAAGAATTTACGTAGATCAGATTTGAACTCACGATCTTCTAATTTAACTGTAGTACATTCTTGATATTTACAATATAAAAATTTGTTAATGTTATTAGCTATGATAATATTACAATTAGAGGAAGTATGAAAGTGGCACCGGTGTCAGAGAGGTAGAAGAGTAATCGTCTATCATGGTATGGACATGTAATGCGTAGGAACGAGGATAATATTTTAAGAAAGGTGTTACATATGAATGTGGATGGTTATAAGGGCAGAGGAAGACCGAAAAAGAGATGGATGGACTGTGTGAAAGATGATACGGTAAGAAAGGAAGTAAATAACGCGATGACTGCGAACAGGGATGAATGGAAGCAAAAAACATATTACGCCGACCCCAAATAAATGGGATAAGGAAGTAGCAGATGATGATAATATTACAATTGTGTTCATAGGGCGAGTCCAGAAGGTACACTAAACTCGCAGGATTTATAAATTGATTGAAGGCTAGCTTCTTCCTGACGAATTCTACTTTATTCTTAGAGCATAGTAAAGGCTTCGAATCTCGTCACAGGCCATACAATTTTGATGGCGAGTACAGACATACGGCCCCCAGGGAGGAGGAATGTTGAAATGACTGAAGACTAACTTCTTCCTGAAGAATATTACTTTAGTCTGAGGTTAAGGTTAGAGACTCGAATCTAGGAGCACACGGTCATAATTTTCTTTATTCTTATTGGAATGTTTTATGGGATCGATCGGATGGGGCAATAATTATGAAGTACCAAGTAACACCCGACTTGAAATTATTGTAGTTTCAAATATGTTCAATAAATGTAATAAAATCTATATAAGTTCTGTAACTGTAGAGTTAAACAGAAATTATTGAAATCCATTATACTCTGTACGTTTGCTCTACATTAAGTTATTTGTAATAGACAATTAACAGTAATTAAGATAATATTGCATACTCACTCATCTTATAGTTTCACACTTAACAAGACATAAATTTATGCATATTACTTTAGAAATGAAAAGCAAAAAATAAATGGTTTCTCACTTTCGCCGAAGAAAAACTGGTTTACAGTAATTATTTGTACTGTAATATTAAAATTGCACGCAACTTATCCAACTGACACTAATTATTATAAATACCTAATAGAAAGTTAGTACAGGCCAATGTACAAATGATAAGTTCATAGTTCAACGAAACTTGATGATGTATTGAGGTA